GAAACATCCATTGTTGCTGAGGTTAGTGAACACAATGATGTTCCAATTCTATCATTTGCCGACTCTAGTCCGCCGTGGGTAGCTGAGCGTTTCCCGTTCCTTGTTCAAGCCGCGGCCAGCACATACACACAAATGAAGGCAGTGGCTAATATAATTCAATCCTGGGGGTGGCGCCGAGCAAATGTAATCTACGAGGACACAGATTCTGCAGCAAATGGGATTAGTCCTTATCTATACGGTGCTCTACAAGAAGTTGATGTCCAAATAAGCAATCTTTTAGCCCTCCCTTCTTTTGCTGATTCCTCTTTGTTGCACAAAGAACTTGGAAAGTTGAAAAAAGAGCAATGTAGAGTGTTTGTTGTGCATACTTCTTTAGCACTCGCTACGCGTATTTTTGGAAAGGCTAACGAAATGAAGATGATGGAGAATGAATTTGTATGGATCACCACTGATTCTATTACAAGTTTGGTGCATTCCATGAATTATTCATTAGTTTCCTCTATGCAAGGTGTGCTAGGAGTGAGGAACTCTTTTCTTGAGACTGGACCTGATTTCCATAGTTTCTCCTCAAGATTTCTTCAAATATTCGGCAGGAATTACCCTGAGGAAAAGCATCACGAGCCAGGAATTTTCGCGCTTCAGGCCTATGATGCCATGCGGACAGTGGGATTAGCAATTAATCAAGGCGATGTCAACAGTGGCCGGAAACTTTTGAAAAGTATTCTGAAAATAAATTTCAACGGATTAAGTGGGAAAATCCAGTTTATGCAGCAAAAATTAGAGCCTGCGACTCAATTTCAGATAATCAATATCATTGGAAAGGGGTATAGAGAACTGGGATTTTGGACTGGTGAAGGATTCTCCAATAGTACTGATGGAGTGTACAGTTCTTCCATGGAGAGTTTAGGACATGTTATTTGGCCTGGAAGTCCATGGTCTGCTCCAAGAGGATGGGATCTTCCAACAACTGAAAATCCGTTGAGAATTGGAGTTCCCAATGGATCCATAACAAACAAGTTTGTAGAAGTTGATTATGATCCTTCAACAAATCAGTACAATTTTTCGGGTTTTTCTTTGGATGTGTTCAATGAAACTGCAAAGCATTTGAAGTACTCTCTACAATATCAATTCATTCCTTTTGGAGGAAAATATACCGATTTGGTAAAGAAAGTTCAATCAAGAGTAAGACATTCTATATTCTCATAGTGATATTTTGCTTTGAGTTAATTCGATACTGACACGAGTCTTAATGGTTTGAGCAGGAATTTGATGCAGCAGTTGGTGACATTGCGATAATATCAAATCGATGTGAATACGTAGACTTCACGCATCCTTATACCGAGTCAGGACTGGTAATGGTAGTGCCAAGACTTCTATCAAATTCAAGCACAACTTGGCTGTTTGTGAAGCCATTCACAAAAGCCATGTGGTTGCTCACATTATTCATTAATGTCTTTAATGGATTCGTCGTATTAAGTATTGAGCGAAGTTACCACTCTGAACTAAGAGGACCAGTTCTGAACCAAATAGGCACTCTACTTTGGTTGGCTTTCGCCACACTGTTCTCATTACACGGTAACATATACACACAAGATGATCGAAAATATGATTTGAATGAAATTTTGTTGATTTTTTCCAGTTTAATTTGTCGACAGGCGAAAAATTACATAGCAATTTATCACGTATGACAATGGTGGTGTGGCTTTTTGTGGCTCTGATCATCACACAAAGTTATACAGCCAGCCTTACCAGCATGCTCACAGAGCAAAATCTTGTACCAAAAATAACAAATATTGAGACACTAAAGAGCAAAAACGCGTTGATTGGCTCCTCGCAGAAATCCTTTGTCAGGGAATATTTGGAGGGTCCTTTAGGCTTTAAATCAAACAACATCAGGAATTTCACAACAGCAGATGAGCACGAAAAGGCTCTCAGAAGTGGTGCAATTGCAGCAACCTTTCTTGAAGCTCCCGTGGCTAAACTTTTTGTTGCCAAATATTGCAAGAGCTTCACCATTGCTGGTCCTGCTTACCAAGTTGGAGGATATGGATTTGTAATTTCTCTCTCTCTCTCTCTCATGAACCCCTCGTCTAAAATTTTAAGCTGTTGAGGAGGGAATACACTTGTTCACGTTTAGTTCTGATTCAATTTTTTTTATCAATAGTCTGACGTGCAAAAATTTTGGTAACCACTATATTAAACAGATAGATAGGGGACGTGTATTCATTTAAATTTTCATCTTTGACTTGATCTTTTCATTTGACTAGATGAAACTGATGAAAATATTTTCGATTGATTCCATCATCTCAGGCATTTCCGAAGGGATCCCTTTTACTTCCTGACATAGACGAAGCATTACTGAATGTTCGCGAAAATGGGGTGCTGAAAGATTTGGAGGAGAGATTAATAGAATCTGAGCAATGTGTAGACATTCAATCTGACAATGAAACTGCAAGTCTTAGCCCTCACAACTTTCTTATACTGTTCATATTTACAGGAGGGACATCAACAACAGCACTTTTAATCTACTATTTTCGGGCCACGGACATATTCAAGAATTCCACGGCTCAATATGAAGGGATTTGGTTTACGATAATGATGGTTTTGAACAAGTTGGTATATTATCGAAACAGACTATCAACAGAAGTAAGAGATGTTGCTGATGAAAATCCCGGGATTTCTCCAAACAATTCGCATTCACGATCACAAGTCTAGATTAATGATTCATACATTCAATGGATGAAGATAATGAATAAAGATTAACGCACATGCGAAGATTGACCCTAGTTGTCGTATGTAATTGACCTCCTCAGTTGGTCGCTTTAGGATATGTAAATTGGCTGTTCATATAATTTATTGGGGACTGTAAATACTAAATATACAACATAGTAATGGTGTATCTTTAAAAATGTCAATTACTGAGAGCTCTTTGTGTTGACATTTGTTCGTGCTAAGGTGCCTTATACATGAATATGCCTTTCGACATTGAAGTGTGATTAGTCATTCACTCTAGTAGTAATTTAATTTTAATATTTCTTAATTTAAGAAGAAATGAAAAGACATGCTTGAATATACAGCAACTTGTAACCAAAATACTGAAGAATATAAGATAGGTTAAACCAATGAGACAATAAATACAATAAAAATCTATACTGACAGCATACATCCCAATGCAAAAATCTCATATTTTCATAAGGAAAATGCTATTTGTACAAGGAAAATGCTATTTTCATGAGGCTTATAAACCAATTATAAGCCTCCAACATTGAATTTGACTTTCTTAAACCTAAATACAAAACAAACAAACAATGAATGAAACAAATTCTAAACTCCATTCAGGCAAAATGGAGCCAAATTTTCTTGTTAACTTTTCAAGACAGTGAAAGCCCGACCCAACTCAAGTGGCAGTACTATAAAATCATGGAAATGATAGATTAGAAAGAGAGAGATAGACGCATCACGTTTGATCTTACTGAACATGCAGGTTATTAGCACCACAGCTTCTCGCCCTAGAGAAATTATTCGAAGGTGGCAGCTGCTGGTGGCTGTGGTGGTGGCGCTTCTGCGATGGCTTTATCTCCTATCTTCTTCATGTTTTGCTCATGATATATTTTTCTCAGTCTTTCAATCTCCTTCTTCAATGCTTCCTGATNTAAGAGTGTGTTTGATTGGTTTTATTTTCCATGGAAAATATCATTTTTTCACCCAAATTTTTCTTTTGACAATTTTTTTCATGGAAAATATTTTTCAACTTATGGTCATGTGACCATATTTTATTAAAAAACAAGGAAAATATTTTTTTTATGGCGATGTGATTTTCATTTTTTCAGGTAATATACTCTCTCTTTCTCTCTAGCATCTACCCACCAATAAAAAATGGACAAGCATAATATTTTCAATGTTGAAAAATGAATCTTATGTGACTTTTAAGCTAGCCTAACTTGCTGATGATTTCTTTAAGTCCTAGTTAAGTAATTTCAAAATATATTAATTGTCACCATATGTGACATTCTTTCCTAACTAAGACAGAAATATTGTGTATCAAAAGTGTGAGAACATTGAAATAATTACATGCGAAGACAAACATGTTCAACATTCAAATCGTCAATAATATATACATCTTCTCTCTAAATGAGATGGATCAAACACGTAAATGTTATTATTTCACCATGACATGAAAATCACATAATTATTATTCGAAAAAACAAGAAAAGAAAAATAATAATTTATTCGAAATTATAGTCCTTACCATCTTTGAAAATTTTATCTTGGGCCAATGCTGCAATCCGCTGCTTAAGAGCACTATTATCAACATTGAGAAGCAGCCTTTGATGATCCAAGAATGCAACACTAGGTGACAAAGATGATACTTCACTCTGCATTAATTCAATAATTAGGAATGAAGTAAAGTCCAGAATACAATTATGAATATTTTTTAACGATTATAAATTAAAGCAAAGTGTGCATACCTGCAGTGTTGTTACACTTCTTTCAAGCTCAGAAATGTATTGTAATTTCCTCACTCTTGATCTTTGAGCTGATTGACGATTGGCCAAAATTCTGACATGAATAAATTTGAAATTAATGAGAGAAACTAATAATTAATCAATAGTAATAAAGTGGGATTGAATTTTGCCTAAATTAAGAGAGAAAAATTGACACATTGGACAGACCAAAAACATCCTTAATTCCAAAAGTAGAAAATTTATTTTTAGGTAAATTTTCCTCAACAATAATATTAAAGTTGGAACAATTTACAAAATATGATACAGATTAATAATTTTACCTTTTGATCCTCTTTGGATCAACAATGGTATCCCCAGAAGCATTATCAGAAGATTTGGCAGGAGGCTGCGTATCTACTGGTGATTTGCATGAATTATCCACCTCACCAGGCTCATTCTTTGGATGCACAGGGTGGCACTCCGCCTCCGCCACCGTTTTCTTCTCCTGAACGTTTTCACCATTTTGCTCAGATGGCGACGAAGGATTAGACGATGACATCTTCATGGGCCCCATATCAGCCATATCATCGGAAAACATGTCTCTCAACTGCTCATCATCCAATCTCTCAAACCCATTATTATTATTGCCCAAATCTTTGATGAACGGTGGCGCCTCCACGAACGTGACAGGGTCACTCGCCGTCCTCCGGTGCATGCTCCGCCGCGTCGCGGAGAAGTCGAGGAATTCATCAACCCATGAATTTTGCTGAGGATGAAGTGGCATCATTTGGAATGAAAATGAGGGCCAATTTTGTGCCATGGATGGGACTTTTGGTGGTAATTGCGCCATGCATTAACAACCCTCAAATCTTCTTGAACTAACTAAATTTTTTTATTTTTTTTTTCGAATTTCACCCCTTACCCCTAAACGAGACTCGAACTCAGATCAAGCTTGATACTTATTTCTTGAGCTAGGCCTTGATCTCCTTCTTGAACTGACAAAATCTAACCAACTCAATTATAACTAAACCAACCTTAAATATCAAAAACAAGAAAATCTTGAACGATGAATTTCTTAGACAAGAATTGAGTGATTTAAGGAATTAAGTGTGTGTAGGGTATCATCAAGATTGTAGGGCAGTGTTCTTATTTTTAAGGCCCAGAAGTTTTGGAGGGAAGGGGGTGGGGGTGGCAGTTGGATGGAGGATCAGGACAACTAGCTACAGCTGTTCGAGAAGAGGGATCATCTCAATCCAACAGTTTTCACTGAGAAAGTAGCAGTAGTTTAATAACTGGGGACTCAGCCACCACGTGCCTATATGACCTTGCCCCTCACACCCTTGTTATCATACAACCTTGCTAGATTTGCTATTTTCGTTGACAAAATGTCACCATCACATTCTATCATTAGCCAGTTGGAAAAAAAAAAAAAAGACAATTTTTGCATCAATCACTTGTTGTCAACTTTATCTATCGACTATCATCCACGATGTCAACTTCATCTTACAAAGTGACATTATTCGTTATCATTTGGGAATCGAAGATTCAATTTTTTTAGGGTTTGATCCTGTGCTGATTCATTATTCACCATTAAGATGAACTTATCCTTTGAAGGATCAATGATCATTGATATTCTGACGCCGGGCAGAATAGTGATTATTCTGCAGGTTGGAACCAATTGACAAATACAGAGAAGAACGCGAAGAGAAACACCAAGAGAAACGAGAAAAATCTTTATTATTCAACAACTGAACGAAAATAACCCACAAGTCGGGTTAAATAGTTAGAAAATATTAATTATCGAAA